TTTTTTTTTTTATTTTTTTGTTATTATTGTTCTGGTCTTCTTCATTATCTCAACGTTATTGCGTTTAATTTTTTTTCCTCTCTCTGGAAATAAATAATAATTCCAATAATTTAACTCAATTCTAATTCGTGAATTTCTTGTTCGATATTTTTTTTCTTTCTTCTTCTTTCTCGTTACGGATTCTTAGATTGAAGAAAATTAAATTCAACGAGATAATAATGATAATTAGATTATTATGGATTTGTTTCTGTATCGAATTTATTTTTACATTGTATGGTTAGATAACATTTTTCTAATATTTTATACGAATTCCTTTTCGGGTCATTATTGATATCAATTAAATTGATAAATTCAATAGTCAAAGGAAAAAATCGTTAAAGAAATAATAAAGATTTAAGAGGAGAAAATATTTATTTAATCTAACTAATCGAGTAAAAAAAATTATGCGATCAGGGAGAAGCATCGATTCGATCCACGGAATTAAAGCAAACGAATTTTAGTGGTTGAAGGGACAAGGGGGGGGGAAGGAAGTAGTAAAAGAAGAAACCAGTAAAAAAAAAAAAACCGATTAGGACTAGGTAAAAAAAGGAAACGTAAAGGAGATGCCGAAGCACCGAAGCGCTATTTTAAGAGGAAAGTTTTGTCTCCGCCGGTAGAAACGAATTTAATCAGTGGCCATTATGCGTGCTCCGAAGTCGGAACGATACAGCTTCTGCCAAAGTTTCTTCGGGTCTACTTCTCGCACCAACAATTCAAGAAAGGAGTAGTGCAACGGTATATATCTACGCGTGCTCTTGGTTACCAATTACTACAGGAGAAAACTTGTCCGTAGCATTTCTACGTTCCGTTTCTTTCCTATTGTACTTTAATTAACGACATTTTTTTTTCTTTTTCTCTTTTTTTTTTTTTTTTTTTTTTTTTTTTCTACAACGTCCCTTATTAAAACGGACTTCATAACTGCCAATGTGGAACCATCAATTAATGCTTGGGCAGATAGCAGCTCGATCTTCTTCCGGCTTTTAACTATCTCAAGGTCATTCTCAATGGTTAAAAAGAGAAAATTCCTTTCAGGTATGAAGACGCCATACTTATAAAATAAAGCGAACCCGTTTCGAGGAAAATAAAAAGTAAAGAAAAGAAAAAGAAAAAGAAGAAGAAGAAGAAGAAGAATAAGAAAAAGAAGAAGAAGAAGAATAAGAAGAAGAATAAGAAGAAGAATAAGAAGAAGAAATAAAAAGGGTACTTGGTCGTTTCTCTTCTCACAGCTAATTAGCTTCTTTCGTTGTTATCGATCGATTCTAGATAGTTGAGAATGAAACGACAAGAAAGACAAGTGGTAAGAGAGTAGTTACTAAAAGAAAAAAAGAAAAAAAAAAGAAAAATGAACAAAAGAAAAGAAAATAATAACTTAAAAAAAAATAATGTTTATTATATACCCATATGGACTACAATTTCTAATAATGGAAATTCCCCGCTATAAGCTATAATTAGTAAGAGATAGATAGATAGAGATAGCGATATGGGGATAAAGATAGATAGATAGATAGATAGATGGATAGATAGATGGATAGAGAGAGAGAGAGAGAGAGAGAGAGAGAGAGAGAGAGAACTCGTGAATACAACGAGACAGTCCCCTTGCTACTCCCATCGGCAGGGAGATCACGGCTATTGTCGCAAATTGGGGGATCGCGATACCCGGATATACTCACACTACGTGTCCTGCCTGGCCTTCCTCACCCCCTCTCGTTTCCTCTATCAGCGTTAATTTCCCTCTACTCTGCTTCCATCTTCTCTACCACCAACTACACAACCGCCTACGCCTCTACCTCCTCCTCTTCTTTGATCTCTACACGTATACGTAGAGCTCCATCGATTTTCAGAGCTTCCAGGGTAAACATTATTTTAAACAATTACGAGACAAGAACCCTATGAACAGTCACGCTAATGACTCTAATATCAACCACCTTGTGATCGACGTGTTCGATATAATTTTACTTTATTTGTAATAATTAGACGAAAGTGAAATATTCTGATCTGAAAAAAGATATTCCTTTATTGGGAGTGATATATTCTAAATCTTTTTTCTTCTTTTCTTTTCTTTTTTTTTCTTTTTTTCTTTTTTTTTTCCTTAAATAATTCTGACTTCAAAATGTTAGATATTTGAAAAATTAATAATTTTATAAAATTAAAGTGACCATACGAGATACATACATGGTGCATAATTTAAATCACCGATCATAATTAATAGTAATCTGTTTTATTATTATGGTCTATAATTATATCTACTGTCTTCAGTTTTTAACGCTGATTCTTATAATTTTAGATAACATAGAATATGATTATTATTTTATTTGTGATATCTGACAAATGTAACAGGTGTCCCGTCCACAGCTCTACTTCATTAAGAACTATAACAAGTTTCTTGAAAGATGCGATTAAAAAAAATAAAGAGAAAGAGAGAGAGAAAAAGAGAGAAAAAGAAAAAGAGAGAAAAAAAATTGTTCCATTACCCGTTAAGGAACGCGTTCAAAACGGGTGCACCGGCTGCGATTTTTCTTTTGGCCGAGAGTTGATAAATTGGAGAATGGAATAATAAATGATCTTGCCTAGCTTGTCGAGAATAAATATAGACTTATGCCGTGGTAAGATAAATGTATATTCTTTATTATTGTTCTATATATGCATCCAGGATTATCTTTATTTTATTAAATAGAACTTTGATGAAAAGTAAATCCTTAACGTAGGGAAAAATATTAATGTATTTTATATGAAAGAATACATTAAATAGGATAAATCAAATTGGTTTAATTAAAATTGATGATTAATATCATTTTAATATTACTTTACTCAGCTAAATAATGAATAATAACGTTCTTAGAATCACCTTTTATAGTTTTCACATTATACTTAAGTATTCACACCTTATCTGACTATTCACAGATACTCAATCTTTCATGAGATATCCATTAATGCTATCATTCATATAATATCCATTCATATAGTTCATAACTTTCATCAATTCATTTTAATGCTTACGTAAATTTCATTCCATTCATATCCCAATAATATTAAATTTTTACGACTTAATCACGACCAATAACAACTAAAATCCTTTTATTCGATTTTCATGGCAGGTATTAAATTGATTCGTGTCGTCTAACAAATCCAACATATAGATACGCATACATACACACAACAAACATACGCTCCGTTGACATCCATCGAAAGATTAACTTACCAAAAGACAAATCGTCCTTGTTTCATTCAGGACACCCTAACTCCAGAAAGGGCAAGTTTTGGTCTACCCCTTACAAGAAATCACTCGGGAATCCCACAAAAGGACATATCTGAACCGTAGTTGTCGAGCTTTTAGTAAGACGAGATAGAAATAGGATAGAGGAAGCAATAAAAAGAGAGAGAGAGAGAGAGAGAGATATTGAAAAAGAGATAGAGAAAGAGAGAGAGAGAGAGAGAGAGAGAGAACTTGAATTGCATTAACGCGCTAGAAATATATTGTGCGGATGTCGGTAGTAGAGGCTCCAGCAGGGTTTATCGGTAAACGCATATGGAGTCAACCGCGCACTGAGTTACCTTAATTTGGTGCGGAGTAGATGGCGGCTGTGGTTCAGCCTAGCGTGAAACTCTCATCAACCACTATAATTACCGGCATAGAGTACACCTTTCTCGCTCTCTTCTCGTCTAGTCGAATTGCTAGCAGCACAACCACAGCCACCACCACTACCATCACCGACTCAAAGCACTCTGCGACGCTTTTTATTTTTATTTTTAATTCTTCTTCTTCCTCTTCTTCTTCTTCTTCTTCTTTTTCTTTCTCTTTCTCTTCCTTTTCTTCTACTTCTTCTCCTTGCTCCTCTCATTCCTTTTCGTTTTTTCTTTCCTTTCTCATTTCTCTGCACTCAACTCTCCTCTTTCTTCACTTCCCGCATTCGTCGGTCTTAGTCCGATGGTTTTTAAAGTGACACCACTAGCAGAGTTCATTTCCTCAAAGCTTCACGAATACCCGAAACGAACGTAGTCGTTATTTCTGTTAATTTTTAAAAGCCGTCCCCAGGAGAGAAAGAAGAGAAAGAGAGAGAGAGAGAGAGAGAGAGAGAGAGAGAACAGATCTGGACAGTAGAAAATTGCTGGGCATTATTTCGAGTTCGCTACGGTAATTGTATCGACCTATCTTGTTTTCTCGCTCGTCGAATAGCGAGACCTGCGATTTTTCTGTGTCTTCTTCTTTAGAGTTACTAAACCACTATCTAGCTACCTTTATTCGGTAGGAACAGCATACGTAAAGGAAATAAAAATAAAAAATAAATAAAAAAATAAATGAAAAAGAAAAAACGTGAACACCTTACCAATGCGGGCTTGTTCTGCTTTTTAACGATTTACGTGGGTCTATTAAATTTTCAACTACCATTTGGTGGTACAATATTTTATACTCTTCGAATGTCATTGTACATGCTGAATTGGAAATATCTAAAATCTGAATTTCACTGATTGAAATGTTATGTGATCGAACAATATCTGATTATTATACATTTTTTCTATTTTTTCTATTTTTTTTTTCTTTTTTTTTTTTAATTTTGTTCATTTATATATTCTTTTAATATATATGATATATGTAATATAACATGTAACATAAATCAAACAATCGAATATAAAGTCAATGATAAATACATATGTATATCTCCACATTTGATATAAGAGATTCCGACTTTGATAAATTTACTCATTTCCATATTCAGACGATAACAAACTCATCATAATAGCTTTTACTTATTCCATCTACTCTATCACAATTGTCGAAAAGGAAAGAAAATGTTTTCACCGTCATACCCTCCATACTGCTCCATCTCTTCATTTTGATGGTACGCTGACGCGAAAGATAATTCGGCTGGCTAATCTCAGTAGGAAAGCTTTTGTCGTATAAGGATAGGAAAGGAAAGAACATTTGTCTCGGTTTAAGACAATTGAAAGTGCGAAACACTTACCGCTGAGCCAGGTCGCGTTGAAGCTCTTGGGAGATAACGAACCGGCGAGCCATTCTTCGAGGGAAATGCCAGGCGCGCTTGTCGTTCTTGATGTCGAGCTATCTGGACTACCGGTCAAAAGAATTGCTGCGGCTACGACCAAGGCCAATGCGACAATGGCTACCAAGCCGCCTGCCAACAGCCGACGCCAATTTGTCCGCTTGTTCTTCGTCATTAGATCCTGCAACGATAAAACGCGTGCTCTGTGATAAAATGTTATCCTAAAATTCTCAGCTATATGTATTCGTATCTCTTTTTCTTTCTTTCTTTCTTTCTTTCTTTCTTTTTTCCGATCTTTTTTTTTTTTATATTTTATTTGTTCCCTTTTTTTCTATTTTATTTCTTTAATCCAAATTTTACACTTTTTTCCATGGTATTTCGTGAAACGTTTTGAGTCAAGGCACGGCGATCAATTTAAAAGACAAATTGTTTTAACTCAGTTCCTAAGTGATACTGATTTAACCAATTTTAAATGGTAAAAGTTTGCAAACGTATGTACGTAAAATTGAATAAAATGAATATTAGTTATAAGTAGAAATAATATTAGATTGCAATTTGACGATAGAAATCTTTCCAAAACTTTTATCTTTCGGCAAATCTGTAATTTCGCGCATCATAAACTTTTTCTTCTCTCTTTCTTTCTCTCTCTCTCTCTCTCTCTCTCTCTCTCTCTCTCTCTCTCTCTCTCTCTCTCTCTCTTTATTTTATCCAACTTCGTTAAAGTTGAATATATAGGGGTAAGTAATTAAGAAAGGTGAAACTGGAGGAAAGTATAATGGATAAGAAAGATAAAGGACGTATAGTTTAAAAACTTAATATTATAGATTCATTAAATAATCTGTCTCTGAATAAAATTATTTCTAGTTAAAAGATTTTTATTTATCGTTATATCTTGCAATCATGATTATTTTCTATTATCCTTTTTAAAATTTCTTCAATGACCGAACAATAATTGGAATATTTAAAAAACTCGTAATTTGAGAGAGAGAGAGAGAGAAAAGAGAGAGAGAGAGAGAGAGAGAGGGAGAGAGAGAGAGAGAGACAAAAAAAGAGAGAAAGAGTAAGGTCAAGCTTCATTGAATTCATCGACGTTTAAGGTTAACCCAATATCATTGTCTGAAATAAAAGCTAGCAATTTTCTATTAACCGGAAATATCAAGGAGAAAATCGAGAAGAAATATATCTGAGGGACTTTTCAATAAAGTAAAATTTTTAAGTAATAAAAGAAAAGAAAGAAAGGAAAAAAGAAAGAGAAAGAGATATATAGAAAAATATGAGAGATATATAGAAAGATATGTAGAAAGAGAGAGAGAGAGATAGAGAGAGAAAGAGAGAGAAAGAGATGTAAGAAAGGAAAAACAAAAAAATAAAAGTCAGAGGTCAGTCGAAATAATTTTCGAAGCTCGTGAAATTGTTCTTCGAATTTAGAGATAACTGTTCTTCCTATATATTAAAGATTTTCCTTCACTCGCACCTTTTCCGAATCGTTGAATCGTCTATGATATTATATAGATCCATCTAACTATCGTCTATGATAGAATGTGGTTTCGATAAGACATAAGTGTGTGTGTGTGTATATTTATATATATATATATATATATATATATATATATATATATATATGTATAAAATGGTAGGAACCTTAGTCTCGCACATGGTGAACAACGAATCTTATCGTGAATTGGATTTCCAAGAAAATAATAGAACCGAGATGAGGCTACTTTCGCGTGGGATCACCAATCGGCAATTTTATATTTATAAATCTTTCTTTATCGAAATGAAATTTCATCGTTTCTTCGAAAAACTATCAGCTTCATTCTTCCAACAAATTGCTTACAAACGGTTTCTTCTTAAACTCAAAATCAATTCGAGCATTTTGTCTGATTAAATCTAATATAAATGTTTCTGAAGGTTTGCGTGCGCTCGATGGATAATACTTCCTTCGCTGAATCAACAGAATTTTCTATTCATTCCTGTAAATTTTTCTCTTCTCACAAAATTTTGCTTACTCTAGTCTTCTTTTTCTTTTTTTTTTCTTTTTTTTCTTTTTCTTTTTTTTTTACACCGTCAATTTAAAATATCTACCTAGTAGACCTACCTACGTAAAATTTGGAATTCCTTTTTTTTCGTTGATTAATGGAAATGATAAATTACAATGACGACGATAATATTTAAATTGCAATTTTTATATAATAATAGTATTATTAGATCATGAAGATGGAAGACATAATTATTTCATAATTGTGTTATTGTGTTAAACGAAGAACTTTTATCCTGAAAATATAAGATCTTTTCGAGATAATTGGTTAGTGTAAGGGGAGAAAGAGATATATTAGAAATTTTACGGTTCGAAAACGCGGAAGAACAAGAGAACCATGAAAGGAGATATTTATTACATTCCATTAATGTTGTTTCGATTGGTTGCCGCACCCAAGGGGTGAGTGTTAGCAAGGATATCACCAAAAAACCAAGTTATAAATTGTTCTTGGATATCTGTTACGATCAACCTTATACGATAAGTGGCAAACAATCATAACAATAAATAATTTTACCGTGCACTTCCGTATTTCTATTGGTTCACAGTAGATCGCTCGACGATATTTCAACGAGTGTCTTTAAAAGTTATCGTACTTATCTAGCTTTTCTACATCGATTTGATAAAAATGTTTAAAACGTTAATGTCCCTGATAAAAAAGATATATGTCATAAACATTTTTTTGAACAAAATTTAACATTCACAATTAAAAGCCATTTATATTTGATTTTATTTAAATTATATATATATGTACATACACACACCCTCACACACACACACACACACACACACACATACACACCCTCACACACGCACACACCCTCACACACACACACCCTCACACACGCACACACCCTCACACACACACACACACACTGTTTTAGAAATTCTTATAGTTTATTTCTAGAAATCATACTAAAAAAAAAAATTCATATATAAAATATTTATTTTATTTTAACTATTTCCTATTATATTTTCAATTCTCTTATATTAATTTATCTTTGGATATTTTATTATCTTTATAATCTCATATTGTATCGTAAAATATTATTTATATTAACTATTTCTATATACGTAAGAAGATCAATACGTGACGGTATAGATCTTCGATTTCTTAATAGCATTCTTATTTAATACTAATAATAATTTATAAGGAAATTTATTGAATTTACGCGCTCATTTTCGTCGATAAGTCGAATACCGAAAAGCCTCTACGGGACCGTCGCGATGTGTATCCGATGGAACGTATTGGAGAGCAGACCATCTGATTTACGAGCTCTTCGGCCGTGTGTAAAATTTATTTATAGTCTCTCTTGCTACTTCGAGTTGTGGATTAAATCGACTTCACCGTCTGGGAGAACTAGATTGATATTTTATATTCGAATCTGACTTTGTAATATACATACCGCCTGCCGCTTCTTTCAAATTCCGACAGTATTTTACATTTCAAATTATTGATATCGTTCCCTTTGGATCACTGACTACATAGATCAAAAAGAAAATAAATATTACATACATATATACTTTGATATTTATACATTCTACGATATTTTTATCGAATTATGATTACGACGATGGCAATTATATCTATTCGTATTTTAAAGAAAAAAAAAAAACAAAAAAAAAACAAAAAAAAACAAAAAACAAAAAAACAAAAAATATTTCAATTATAAGATTAATTTATTATGAAATATTTATCATAACATATTTATAATTCGATCTCATATCGTTCAGTTTCATGAGAATACATATTCTGTCAATACATTTTTTTCAATTTATATATCAATCGCAAATAATGACATATTCTACGTTCATTCAATTAATTAACATTTTCATTAATTGCACGAACGAAATTTAATCAAGTGTAAATATTTAATTATCATAAATGTATTTCATTTTTTCAGGATATATCATTGTACCAAACGATTAAATCGATTCAAATCTTCGGAAAATAGAAAATAGAAATAAAATGGTCTTAATCGTTTCTAAGTGATAACAGATATCGAATAAACTCAAAAGTTATGTCTGCACATTTACGCGGGTATCAAAGCGTATGTTACGTATGTGTAAACATTGCAACATGAATTTAGTAATACAGTAAGTTCGCGTCGTTTACGAGCTTACGTTTAATCCCAAAGTACTTTTATCTGTTAAACTGTTAGTATTACTAACACGGAGAAACAGTTTTTATAAGCTTTTACTATTATTTGTCTTCCTTGCTTTCGTTTAATTTGATAATAAAATGAAAATAAATTAATTATTAACTTGAGAGTTAAATTCTCTTTTGTTTTTTTTTCTCTAAGTATTTACACATCGTATTTGTTGAAAATTAATAAATAAAAATTAGTAAATAATCAAATAGTACATTGCTAAATTTGTTCAATATAAAACATCGAAGAAAAATTCAATTTGCGTTAGCAAATTAAATTGATCGAAATGAAAATTAAGATAAATCATAATTATGATATATATACTTGAAGTAAACATACAAATTATATAATTCTATTACGAGAGATTAAATATTAGAACTTTATTTCAATTAAAGCCCTTTTTCATGCTTTTAATATCTTTTTGGATAGACCAAAATTTTGAACTCTTTATGCATAGGTTATTTCAATACGAATAATTTCTCTCTCTCTCTCTCTCTTTCTCTCTCTCTCTCTCTCTCTCTCTCTCTCTCTCTCTCTCTCTCTCTCTCTGGTGACTTTTCAATGAATCTTTTAACACGATAAAACATTAATTCAATATTCGTCGTTATCATGACAGCAAGGATAAATTTAAGAGTCAGTCAAGCTTATAGAAGATGTAGAATTGCATTAAGCTACAGGAAAACTATTTTTCATCCAGATTGTCGTGCAAGAAAATCGAAATAATTTATCGTTTATCGAAGCAACCAAGGTCGATACAGTTTCACCGAGCCAATCGTTCAAGTTAGATTGGATTGAACATATTTTTACTTTCTCTCTCTCTCTCTCTCTCTCTCTCTCTCTCTCCACCAACTCCATTCCTCAACTTGTCTCTCTGTTCCTCTTTCTCTCTCTCTCTTTCTCTTTCTCTCTCTTTCTCTTTCTCTCTCTTTTTCGTAGCAGTTGCTTTAATTTCTTTTCGATTTCTCCTATTCTATCTTCTAGTTTAACCGCTTCTCT